TTGGTCATCTTCTGGATTTACCACTCTCCTCTGAATCTTCCACTCGATCATTTTCCTGATGGTGTGAATGATTGCTCTCAGATATAATACAATCTTCGAAATCACCTTCGCTATCAGATTGGTCCGAAGCTAGCAACAGGGAATTTATTTCCTCTTCAAAAGACGGACTCTCTACCCGCAATATTTTTCTTTTTGATGGTTCAACTGAACTTGATTTCGAACATTGACGTTTATTACCATTTTTTGCCATTCTGAACTACAAAGTATCAAAATAAAAAGAAATAGTTCAAAAAAATATTTTGAATGGCAACTAGGGACATGGAGCCTGACAGGCTACGTCCAATTTTTCGATGAGTGTTACTCACGTGTTATACGACCGACAACACGTCTGCTTCCTTCCGTGGTCAATTTACTACTATAACAAAGGCTACTGAGACTCGGAGTCGCGGCGAGCTGGGGGGAGTGGCGAATTCTAATAATTCGCAAAAAGCACGAAGCCTGTGAGACTCCATGTCACTGGTTAAAGGTTAATAAGTACGCTAGTAGGATTAATCTAGAGGAGTTATTGTTATTCGAAATTTTATACAATTGTACGTTCATACAATCTTTTAACAGAAAATTGTTTGTAATATAGGGAAATTAAATAGCTTACAGAGAATTACAGCTTTTTATTTTAAAAAACTGTTTTCTCTCTGCATGAAAAGATCTTATCGATTAGAATGCTGAACACAATCAAACATTCCTTAATATCTCATAAGTACTACCGGGAATTTCAGCGATTCTAAACGATAAGATTTTTTCATAAAGAGAGTTATTAAAAATATTAAAATTACTAAAAAAGCCACCTGGTGCGGAGTAGGGAGACTAATAATCGACCGTAGCGACGCCTGCTGGACCGGGCTTTAACTAAAGCAAAAATAAAAATGAGAGTTGCGCATCTATCTCTAATATATTAAGTGTATAATCTATGGTCCAGTATCCACAGATTAATATATAACACCATAGACTATACACTTATTATATTTTTTTTCTTTATGGCAATAGTTTTAACTTTATGCCAGTTTCAAGTAAAAGGTAGGGAAACTACACGCAAGAATAAATATACAAAGTCATCAAAACAAAGGGATTAGCTAGTTAAAAACAAAATATGGACATAAACTAACAAAAATAAAATAAACATATTAAATCTTAATATTATTATTGATTATGAAAGAAGATAATATTCAACATGACAAAACAAACATTATAATACAAAAAAGTATAAAGCAAAAGGCAAGAGATTTTAATCGGAAACGGAACCTGTAGTAATTGTAAGGAATTCATAAAGGAGGTGCAGTCATATTGGGAACAAGAAAAGAAAATATGGTCGAGATCACCAATATCTTCTCCACACTCACAAATATTGCTATCAACAATACGAAGCCTTGCTAAATGATGAGATGTACATACATGTCCTAAACGTATTCTGGAAATGATAGAAGTGACAATTTTAGAACTTTTAGCTTTAAAGAACCATGGTTTACTGGGGATCGTGGGTTGAATTTCAGCATAAAGTTTGCCTTTGAACTGGCTGCTTCTCAACCAAACATCATTCCATGACTCCCAAAGATGGGTTTTGGAAAGAGCAGCCAAATCATGACAGTAATTTATATATGGGTCTATATCTCCATCCTTTATAGCTTCTTTGGCAAGCTGCTCGGCTTTCTCGTTCCCTTTAACTCCACAGTGACATGTGACCGTATCTTTAGACGTTTCGTCAAATAGTCCTCCACTCTTAACTCATCTGATGATGCTCGAGCATTCCTCCCAAACTTACTCGAGTTTGGTATTTTTAGTCGACCATTACAATATTCCTCAACTGACCTCGAGTGAGGTAGAGAGGTGTTATTGCGTCACCACAACAACATCAGTTTGAGGAANCCCTTTAACTCCACAGTGACATGTGACCGTATCTTTAGACGTTTCGTCAAATAGTCCTCCACTCTTAACTCATCTGATGATGCTCGAGCATTCCTCCCAAACTTACTCGAGTTTGGTATTTTTAGTCGACCATTACAATATTCCTCAACTGACCTCGAGTGAGGTAGAGAGGTGTTATTGCGTCACCACAACAACATCAGTTTGAGGAAAATTTGATCAAGCTAGCATCAAACCCATAGAGTTCTGTAGTCTATTGTCATTGTTTAATGTCAAAGTCAAGCTGCCGCTGTCTGTTTGACACTAGATGAACTTGTTTGATGTTTTGGTTGCTGAGTTATTCGTAAATATGAGTACGTGTGGTAAATCTGAAAGTGTATTATTTATTTTCTAACCTATTATTATTTTAGATTTCGGATCCGGCTTTGTATTTTTATCTATCTATCTATCTCTTATTCGCCGCTTTTGTGTGATTTTGATTGCATCGTGTTGTTGAAGTGCTTTTCCACAACCACCAGTTTATTATTATATAAATAAAACTTATAATCGCATTGACTTTATTTATCAGGTAGTAAGCAAAATATGACTCTTATGTAGGTAAATAAAATAAAAAGTTTCAAATGTCTAACCTCGAACTATTTACTTAATTAATAAATATTATCAAAATTAAATTATCAAAATATACGGGAATCATGCAAAGATCCAGGCCATTGCACAACAATATCATATATTTCCATTTGCGGTCCACATACTATTTTGAAATTGATAGAAAACCAGCCTTGAGGAACGTTCAAAGTACGTCGCGACGTACCTTGACTTGACAGTTCGCTTACTTCACTCCGGTTAGGAAAATTTTCCAAGGACGTTTGAGTGGAGTTTATTTTTACGAATTTTGGAATCCATACAAAGATAACGGTGTAATTTCTTTGAGGACATATCAGAAATTTATCACGTATTTCGCAAAGTTTCATTTGGAAAGGAAATTTTTCAATAGTTTGTAGTGCACTTTTTGAGTCTGAAAATATGATTGTTCTTTTAGATTTTAATAAAAGAACTAGTTCTACAGCTTTTAAAAGAGCAAAACACTATCCAGTAAAAGGATTCAGGAGGAAGTTTAATCTTTTGTATTATTTTATGTTGCCAATGAACTAGACCAATTGCAACACAATCATTAATAGAGATTTTAGAGGTATCTATCAATCTATCATCTAGCAAATATAATCCCATCCACCCCAATTTTGTTCCTCAACGCTACTCATGAAACGAATATTTGTCTCCAGAATATATTGTTTACTGACACCTTTATCATATCTTATATCCGGAGCTAGAATTACAGAATTGAATTTTCAGGTGGAAAGACTGAGCTATGAAGATTTTTATAAATGGGATAGTATTAGTGGCAAGGACTTTAAAGACAACCTAACCGGAAAAATAAGCAAGATCCGTGTTATGACTTTCAAAAAATACAAGCAAAGCATTAAATACAAAACATCTATGAATGCTTCAGCATCATCTTTTGATGTCGAAGTTCAGCCTAAAATCAAGTTATCACTGTCACCTTGGTCTCAGTTACAAAATCCAAATATGATGATTTGCTCAAACTTTGCACTGACAAAGTCATTCCTAATTGTCTTAAACAAGAGTTTCTTTCTGAGTATTCCACGTGCAACTGAGCATGATATTGAAGATTGTGATTGAATAACAAAAAATAATAAGATCACATGCCGCATATCTATCGTGTGCGTTTGGAGACTGCTGCCCGTATCTTTAGACGTTTCGTCAAATAGTCCTCCACTCTTAACTCATCCGATGATGCTCGAGCATTCCTCCCCAACTTACTCGAGTTTGGTATTTTTACCCCCGTATCTTTAGTCGTTTACACGAGCTTAACTCGACTCGACTCAACCTCCAACGTGCGTTTTGTAAGCCTTCGCTTTTAAACTTTATTTATTATTTATTTTTAACTTTAAAATAAATGTCCAGCTTATTTAATATCTAGTAGTAACTATTAAACTAATCTGTGATAATATCTGTGGACAACATTTTACTGTGATTATATTTCATCCCATATCATCTCATCTCATTTCATTTCATATCATTTCATTACATATTATCATTTTTCATATAAAAAAGTTTTCATTAAAATTAAAATAATACTTGACCTAAAGGTCTTAGTTATCAGGTCATAAAATCCCTTTAAAAAAACAAAACTAAAAAAAAATCACTGTCAAATGTCAATAGTGTCAATTTGTGAAAGGAAATAAATAAATAGCAATTTTAAATTTTACATTAAACTATGCATTGCTTTTTTTTTTAAACCTTTCAACTTCTATTTGTTTGTGGAAAGAAATTTCTATTTACTTTATCCATAAACTCTATAAATACAATAAAGGATCATATTAAAATAAACATAAGCGATCGAAAGGGAATATTAGAACCTTAAATAATTTCTGTAAAATTAATTTAATACTCTTAAGTATTAATAAGAATATTATCAAAAATAAATACTATGCGTAAATACAACACATATTTAAATTTAATCCGAAGTATTAATACTATCAATGCCGTTAGACGTAGGGTAGTCGTTACTGGACTGGGTGTCGTATCTCCTTTGGGTACTGGATCTGAATTAGTATGGACAAACATATTGAAGGGAAAATGTGGTATAGTGGCTCTCAATGATGAAGAATACATAAACCTTCCTTGTAGATTAGCTGGGCTTATACCTAGAGAAAAAGATGGTATTGTTGAAAAAGCATTGTCAAAATCTACTCTGAAGTCAATGGCTCCAGCTACATCATTAGCATTGGTTGCTACATCCGAGGCACTTAAAGATGCAAATTGGACGCCTAAAAGTGAACACTGTAAAGAAATGACCGGTGTTGCAATAGGCATGGGTATGATAGATTTAAATGATGTCTGTATCACAAATGAAGCATTAAAAGTTGGCTACAACAAAGTGAGCCCATTCTTTGTTCCTAGAATATTACCAAATATGGCTGCAGGGCACATAAGTATTAAATATGGATTCAGGGGACCTAACCATTCTGTTTCGACAGCTTGTGCAACTGGTGCTCATTCTATAGGGGATGCTTTCAGGTTTATAAAAAATGGTGATGCTGATGTTATGGTATGTGGTGGTGCAGAGGCTTGCATCAGCCCTTTAGCTATCGCAGGTTTCTGTAGACTAAGAGCACTGAGTACTTCATTCAATGGAGAACCTCATAAAGCTTCTAGGCCATTTGATAAAAAAAGAGATGGTTTTGTTATGGGTGAAGGAGCAGCCATATTGGTTTTAGAAGAATATGAACATGCTTTCAAAAGGAGTGCTAAAATGTATGCTGAAATTTTAGGATATGGTCTTTCTGGTGATGCTTCTCACATAACTACACCAAGAGAAGATGGAAGTGGAGCTATGTTGTCTATGGCGAGAGCCTTGAAAGATGGCAATTTGCAAAAAGAAGATATAACATATATAAATGCCCATGCAACATCAACCCCGATAGGCGATGGTATTGAATCAACAGCTATTAAGTCATTATTCAAGGAACATGCATTAAAAATATCAGTTTCTTCAACTAAAGGAGCCCATGGACACTTATTAGGTGCTGCTGGAAATTTAGAAGCAATGTTCACAATATTATCATGTTATCATGGTGTCCTGCCACCAACTTTGAACCTTGACGACCCTGTAGACGACTTGTGTTATGTTGNAGGCGATGGTATTGAATCAACAGCTATTAAGTCATTATTCAAGGAACATGCATTAAAAATATCAGTTTCTTCAACTAAAGGAGCCCATGGACACTTATTAGGTGCTGCTGGAAATTTAGAAGCAATGTTCACAATATTATCATGTTATCATGGTGTCCTGCCACCAACTTTGAACCTTGACGACCCTGTAGACGACTTGTGTTATGTTGTTAAGAATGCGAAAAAGTGGGATCATGAAAGGAGAATTGCATTGAAAAACTCTTTTGGGTTTGGTGGTACTAATGCATCTCTTTGTATTGCTAATATTTTATAGTAAATCAATAAAACAATTATAATAATTAAAGTAAATAATTTGACTATATTTTAATAAAACGAATTTTCACTGTAATTGTATTATATATTATTTTTAAAACAGAGTTACAAATGATTGGATTTTAACAACAATGGCAAATCAACCAAGGTAACTCTTGACATAGTTTTTTAAGCTATTAACGAGCAATAATTCATCATTATGTTTCCATAATAGTCACATAAAGCATCGTAAATAAAATTATCAAAAATGCTACAGTAACGTTTATGTTCCATTCATTACTAAGCTCTCTAAAATTTTGTTTTTAAATATTTAAATGCTGGTCATCAGGTCAACATATCACTAGGGTTGGTACCCTTTAATTTTCAATTCACATCATTCCAATTCATTTAAATAAAATAATGTGAAAATATTACAAAATATATAAACCATGCATTTATTTCATTCATAAACAATGATTGATTTTAAAACAATAGATAGACAGCATAAAGACAAAACCATGATTGAATTGCTTGGCAAATAAAAATAGCTTGTTCTCAGTAACAAAAATATCTGTGTACATTATGTTATTTTTCTATTTCTGCCAAACTAAATGTAACGTTTTCAAATATGAACTTCAAACAGAAGGCTAGACGTTCAAGAAATGTATTGTAATTTATATAATGCTATCCATCCAATATATAATTGCAATAAATACTACATGCATAGGTAACAACACTATATAATTATTGCTTAGTATAAACACCAAAAAAACACATCTACATTGATAGAATAACATCAAGTTTGTATAGTAATATTTTAATAGTATAATATCTCAGTAATGTTTGCAATTGTATGTCTTCAAAGGATTTACTTCAACTACTTTAGTTCAAACAAATTTTCTCGCATTTTCGTGCTTCGAGTGAATTTTACGTCGTTAATTAAACAAAAATGTTTCAGTTTAAGACCACATTCAAATAATTGAAACTGAACTGATGTCTCAAGGTTGGTGCTAATATTAACATTGTGATGATTATGGGCACAGTTCACATCTTAAGAGCAGATTGTCTAGAGCATATCTGCTTGTGTAAGAAAAAAACATAAAGGCTTCCTCAATCTGGTTGTCTTTTTTTTAAATACAGAAGAATGAGAATGTTTACACAAAGGTTTTAATATCAATAACATGTATTAAATGTTACTAAGCGTACATAACCTTCAGTAACAAGAAACTTCAATAAATGAAGACATATTACTGATTTACAGGAATACAGAAGACTTCTGATCTATTGGCACACTAGACTACACATTGATATCTGCATGAGGATCCATTACTGAACGTCTACCCTTCATCACAAAGGATACCAATATTGCCTTTCATATGATTACTATCATCTTATGTATTGAATGTAACTGTTGTGACAAGCTATTGTGTAATTTTATAACTTACAGTATAATTCAACAGTGACAATGTTTTATCTACCGATGATGAAGACAAAGTAACTAATGCATTCTGAAATATTTACTGAAATGTGGCAAATTGAACATGATGCAGATTAGATTGGCTGTTTGCTCCCAGTTTGTGCTAGCTGTGACTGTGGTGTGTTCACACACAACTGAGCGAACTTCTGCCGAAGATTTTGTCGAAGCTCTTGTCTTTTCTCTGTTATATTCCTCCGAGACTTAAATTCCAAAACATCCTCTATGGGTATGTAACTTGCATCTTCTTCGTCGTCTGATGAACATGTATCCTGTAAACATTTTTTTTATAGTTATCTGTTAAGAATTTGAACCCATAATCTAAATCGATATTAATTTTTAGTAGTCACAGGATTGAGAAAATGTTTCCTTATTCTCCATAAATTTGAAACTGAGTGAACATTACAGTTTCAAATTAGTTATACTTAATGTAAAGGGGTTATAGTTATGGTCGTTGGTGTTTCCATGCTCACTTTGAGAGATTGGGTCTCCGCCCGGAAGCGAAGGCGCTGGCTGCGGATTTCGCGTGGCGATGCGATCTCCGCTCCAGGGGGAGCGCGGAAACTTCAATTTCGACGTGCCGTGCTCGAGGCGTGGTCTCGCCGCCTGGAGGACGGGCGACGGACCGTAGAGGCGATCCGCCCGGTCCTCTCGGACAGGGTGAGTCGCGACCGAGGACGTCTCACCTTTCGAGCGACGTAGGTGCTTTCGGGACACGGCTATTTCGGTCGCTACCTGCAGCTCGTCGCCCGAAAGGAGCCGACGCCGCAGTGCCACAACTGCAGTGGCTGCAACGAGGACACGGCGGAGCACACCCCAAGCAGCGCCGCGTCCTCGTTGCAAAAATAGGACAGGACTTGTCGCTTCCGAACGTCGTAGCTACAATGCTCGGCAGCGACAAGTCCTGGCAAGCGATGCTCGACTTCTGCGAGTCCACCATCTCGTGGAAGGCGGCAGCGGAACGGGAGAGAGAGAGAGCTCTTCTTCTTTCTCGGCACCGTGCCGGGGGTCGAAGGAGAGCGTTCGTTCAACTCCGGCCCCTGTGATGAGGCAGTCTCCTGCCGGTGATGGTCACGGGGCGACCTGAGGGGGGTTAAGGCTGCGCCGCATGCTACCGTCGCACTAGCGCGCTGGCACCAGGAGAATGGGCCGACGCGTCGGCGGTTGCGGTCCGCGTTGTCTTCGTCGCTGTCGTCACCGAACATACTGTGGAAGAGCAACCCGATTGGCGGTGTATCGCGTTCCGATCCGGCAGACTGGTTATGACCTAGCGGGGTATCCCGGAAAACCAGCGGCATCGCCCGGACGGCCTGGTAGGGCCGCCGTACCGCGGAGACCGGCATCGTTGGTCGTCGACTATCGCCTCGACGACCCGTCGGTCGGACGTCCTCGGGGTGGCACCGCGTAGTGTTGACCGCAGAAACCCCCCTACTCTGACCGGGTTCTGACCCCGGACGGAGATCGGACGTCGGGTGAAAGAGTGCAGAGGAGTCGTTTAGTGTGGTAGGGGCCCTAAAACTCCTTGGGCCCTCGGTCTGCTCCCAACATCAGCAGATCATCAAGACCCACATACCCCGCGCGTCTCATTAGGCGCGGGGACCTCGTAGGAGATTCCGGTACCCGGCCCGGAAAAAAAAGGGTTTTAGTTACAAGGATAACTATAAGGGTAACAAGTTATAGGGGTGCATTAATAGGAATATTATTTTACATTTACATCAATGTTTGATGGACTCAATTATGTCAAGATTTGGGAAACTAGCAGTTTCCCAAATCTTGACATAATTGATCTAACCTAAGTCACCTGACTATACTCATATTGTTATGTTGACAAAGTGCTATGTTATAATTTAGTGTAAATAGTGAGTAAAACAGCATATACTGGCCAGTGTTTAATTAAATTTTAAGGCTTACCATTAGCATTTCCTGTAATGAGAGTGTGAAATTGGGACATGGCTTATCAATTTTAATCATGTCCAAACAATCGCCACGTTCATGATTGCAGAACCCTTCGGAACAGGCAACTTCAGAACCTTCAGGTGAACTCATCAGAGATGATGAACCTGACATAGTCTCACAGCAGCCTCCTGTGTTACCAGATGAATATCCACAGTCATGACTATGTTCATTGGGAGAGAGGTTTCCATTCTTATTACGTTTCTTGCCCGTTTTTTTCGACGATCGGCGTTTCGTTTTTGAGTCATTGTGACATGATTGACATCCCTCTTCATTTGTCTCGAAACATTGGCTATAGGAGTGGGGCGTAAGCAAATCGGTCGGAGTGTCTCTCTCTTCTAGTAAACACTCTTCACATTGGCATTTCTCATCTGGCTCTTCTGAATCAGCTTCCTATAATTTAAAATATTGAACTAATTGTTTCATATTGATCTTACAGTAAAACTTATGACTGCTATTAATAATACCTTGCATTTGCCCTCAACTGCTTGCCGTTCCTTCTTCTTACGCCTTTTCAGTTTTTTCTGTTCCTTCCTTTGTTGCCTGGTAAGTTCCTCTTGAGTAATTTCATCATACAGCAGCTGTAGTTTGGAGACCCCACTCTTGTGCTCAACAGCAGTTTCGAACTTGCGGTATAGTGCCTCGACTGCAACTGCAGCAAGCGTTTGGCAAGTGCCTTCTTCTTCCCGAAGACGAAGGGAGATGCGTTGCAGACGTTCATATATACATATTCCAAGACATATCAGAACCTGGATGTAATATGTTCCATTATTAAATATGTTGATAGATGAATAGATAATAATTTAAATAAAGTTGTGAGATGGATAGAGAATATTCTATTAGGAAGACATTGTATCTCACATAATAATAATACTAGAGGATGACCCAGTTTTACTTGTTTTTTTTTTTGTTGATAAATTGTGTTTTTAGAAATTATATTTAAATACGAATTACGTATTGATATTATTTTATATTATTTGTTGTTTTTTCAATAATTAAAAAATAAGTTTATGTTTAAGTTGATTATTGAAAACACGAATAAAACAACATTTTCTGAAAATAAATCGTAGCTAGATCGATTTATCGGCCCCGAAATCCCCTGTATACTAAATTTTATGAAAATCGTTGGAGCCGTTTCCGAGATTCAGATTATATATATTTATATACAAGAATTGCTTGTTTAAAGATATAAGATTCAACAATGTCATAATGAAAGAGTCTCATTATGATATAAAAGTACAACAGTATTTTGTTGTTTACATAGTTACTGATCCCCCTGATGATAGTTAACCCCTAATATATAAATGGTGAAGAGTTTGTTTTTCTTATACACAGCATTCCCTATTACAAGAGAAATTTGATTTCAGGATGAAAAATGAAGAAAACCACAATACTACACACCCCAAAAGAAGTTTCACTTCTTTGACCTGCACCAAGTTGCACATGCACCTTTTTTCCTTTTTTTCAAGGACATTGCATTATACTGTCATTAGGCTTACAAGGGTCATCAATTCATCTGCCATTATGAATGAAGTTATACATAGTCAGCTTATTTGTGCCAAAGGCAGCCATGTGTTCTGGTTTTAGGAAGGTCAGTAAACTGTCTATAAGCAAAGTACCTAAATAACAAATGGAAAGAAAAACAATAAATACCTCTTCTTGTGCAATTTCCAAAGTCTTAGCATGTCTCTCTCTGTGATTTCCAAGCAGCTCAGGTTCCGCCCTAGCTATCAGGTGTGCAATGTAATCAGTCTTTGCTTGTAAATGTAAGTGTTTGTCAAGAAGGCATCTTTTGATACCTCCATAGAGTGCACCTACATATCCTTTTTCTTTTTGCGGTTCTTTCTCTTCTACCAAGAGTTGATAAGCTCGAAGCACCTAGTCATAAAAAAAAAATTGCTTGATGAAACTTTCATGGTGTTAACTCCAATATAGCAATCTTTACATAATGAAAATATGCTCAAAAAGATAATATTATGTTAAATTATGTTCAAATCATCATCATATCATCATATAAATAGTCATCATCATCATCATCATTATTCAGGCAATAATTTATAACAATACATTTATATTGATATGATTTCAAATATTATGTCCTGTCATGATTAATCTTCATTGAGATTTGCATCATAAAGAGAGTTCTGAAAATGTTCGCTGAATTCTATC